CCGCCGGACGGCACCACTAGCACTCCACTGGTCAGGCGCGCCCAGAGCGCGGAGTCTAAGCCCCAGGGTACTTGTTCACCAGGGCCCCTGATGGTGGGGATGGACTTGTAGTACCCCGGGACCAGGTCGCCACTACTGAGCACATCTGTCAGTGGTAGGGGTGTTCGCCAGGGGCTCCAACCAGGGAGAGCCAAATGTAAGGAGGTCGGGTGACCCCGATGGGATGGATGGATGGATGGCTGAGCAAGTGCGAAGTCAGACAGGCCGAGTTGGTAACATAGAGGGCGGTAAGGTACAAGGGAGCAGGCAGAGAATCGTCGGGACACACGCCAGGTCAGCAACAGTAGGTCAAATCTAATGAGGGGCATTCAGGAAGAGAGGTCAGGCAAAGCAAGGGTCTGGGCAGGAGAAATCAGCAGGTCAAGAGCAATCCGAGTCAAATAACTTACAAGGCACAGGTTCAGATTCGCAGGATACCGGTAGGACCAGAAGACACTGAAATGACAGCACAGGGACATTTAAATATCCCGCCCTGCGCTGCCATTGGTGCCCAGCGGGCGGCCGCGGCTTCTACTGCGCATGCGCGAACTCGAACGCCGCGGCCGGCCCGGAACTAGTGCCCGTGTCCCCGCACAGGGCGGTGCAGTGCGCCTGCGCCGGGACCATCGCGGCGGGGATCGAGGGGATCCCTGACAGTGGGAAATTGGGTGGTGGGTGGGCAAAGAGGGGGAAGGGGTGGGAGGAGGAGGGGGAAGAAAATGGGGATTTTTGGTACTGATGAGACTGAGGAGGTGTCAGTGGCTACAATCTGGGAGGCACATAAAGCATATATCAGAGGAATATTGATTTAGATGGAAGCAGAAAAAAAAGAAAGAACGGGGGAAAAAAATTAAGACGGTGATGGAGGAGCTCTGCAAGTTAGAACAGTCACATTAAAAAAAGACAGGTACAGATGTATATCAGAAGATAATTATTAAAAGAAAAGAATTAAAAGATCTTATGGAACAGGAGTCAAGAAGGATATTCAACAGGGTCTCAAAAGAAAGATATCAGTGGGGGAATAGACCTGGAAAGTACTTTATGAGGAAGCTAAAGGAAAAGAAATCCAAAAACTTTATAGAAAAAATAAAAGACGACAAAGGAGAAATGGTGTACGCCACCACTATTGCCAAAAGGTTCCAAAAATATTATAGCCGGCTGTACGATGTGAGCCCTAGAAAACAAAAGGAAACAGCAGAGGAAAGAAAGACAAACAGACAGAAATATTTAAATGAAGTGGAGTTGCCAAAAATAGCAAAAGAATAATTAGAGGTCCTAGAGAGACCTGTTACACCAGAGGAAATCATCATGGCCCTAAAAATTACGGCTATAGGAAAGAGCCCTGGTCCAGATAGATATACTGTGGGTTATTATAAAAAAATGTAGAGATCTCCTAGTCCCTAAAAGTCAAGGTCAACGGATCCCTCTCTCAATTCTTTAAAATGTTTAACAAAACCAGACAAAGATGTCCACTTTCTCCTTTATTATTTGTTTTATCCCTGGAACCTGTCCTGGCAAGGGTAAGAAAGTATGTAGACATGGCAGGAATAAAGATAGGGGAAGTGGAGCATAAGGTGGCAGCATACGCAGACGACATGTTATTCTATATTGTAAACCGTAGAATAATGTTGCCTAATTTAATGGGATTATTAAAACAGTACGGTGAGCTATCAAATTTGGAAATAAACCCTGCTAAGTCAGAGATCTTAAACATCAATATACCAAAGGTTGAGCAGCTGAATCTACAAAAAGACTTTCCATTTACTTGGAGGGAACAGGAAATAGGCTATTTGAGAATAAAACTAACTCCTTCAATAAAAGCCCTGTACCAGGCAAATTATATCCCATTATTAAACAAAATAAAAGAGGAGCTGGGGAGATTGTCAAAAAGTGGAGCTTCTTGGATAGGTCGTATAAATCTGGTAAAGATGGTGATAGTAGCAAAAATCCTATATAAGTTTCACATGCTCCCAATACACCTACCAGAAGATAATACTTAAGTTTATCTGGGCAAACAAAAAAACGAGAATTAGGTATGGAGGTACTGTGTAGGGCAAAAGGGAATGGGGGCTTGGGTATGCCTAATGTTGAGAAATATTATCAAGCGATGTTATTATCATGAATAATAGATTGGAAATTTAATTCACAAGGGAAAGGTTGGGTGAATATGGAAGGGATTTTTAGTAAGGCACAGTTAGGGAAGATGGTTTGGGTACCACATAAATATCGCACATTAGATGTGAATATTAGTACACTGACAAAGAAAGTTTAAAGTGGATAGAATGTATAAGCAAAAGGGATGGAAATACAATTCAGTCATGATTCCCTTGGTGGGAACTGAGTATTTCCCCCCAGGGAAGGATAATATTTCTGGGAAATGGACTAAAGATAAGAACGCACGTTTAAAGGATATGCTGAATAAGGGGAAATTGCACACGGTTTCAGATTTAAAGAAAAAAAAAAGATTTATTTTTCACATTAGATGAGTGGCGGTATGGTCTCAATGCTCCCACAACCACTGAGGTCGTCGGAGGATCTGTATCCGATTGAAAAACTGCTGAATGTAACTACAGTTCCTAAACAGGGCAACTCCAAGATTTATAAGATTCTTATGGATATGGAGGGTACTGATCCTCCCCAGTTCTTGGAAAAATGGGAACAGGAGCTTGGAACAAAATTGAATGAACAACAAACGAATAATTATTTTAATTAACAAATGAGGTGACGAATATGAGCACAGTTGAAATGAATTATAAATGTTTGGCTAGAAGGTATATTACACTGAGCAAGGCACATAAACAACAAGTAGATGTTTCACCTTTGTGTTGGAGAGGATGTGGGGAAAAGGGAACAATGGTACACATATGGTGGGATTGCCTGAAAATACAGGATTGCTGGAAAGGAATATTACAATATATTCAGGAAATATGTGGGATTACTGTACAGACAGACCTGTGGACATGTTTATTTTATACATTTGAACCTTTAGTAAAACTACATAAGAACAGGGTACTTTATCATCTAATCAGTGTGACTAACAGCTTGATTCCCAAATTCTGGCTAGCCCCAGATAAACCAGGAATAAATGACTTAGTTAACAGAGTGGAAAATATTTACAGGATGGAGGAGTTGTGTCTTACTGAGGAAGATAGAATAGAAAAATTTAGGAAAACATGGAGTAGATGGTTAATTTTCAAAACATCTAAAAAGACATCTGGAACTGGCTGCAATATAGGTGGAAGAGTATTGGAGGGAGTTCTAATAGAGTACCCGACAGAGAGAAGGAGATAGAAGGGAAGGGGGGATACAGATATAGATAGATAATCATGAGAATAGGATAGAAACTAGGAATTTGCATATGGATTGGAGTGATTGGGGGGGATAAGATGATGCAATATGAATTTATGTACTGGTGAAAGTTCTTTTTATTCTTGTGTGCATTAGATACTCTTTTTGTATTGAAAAAATTTAATAAAATATATTATTATTAAAAGAAAAAAAAAGCCTATTGCTTTTCCCTGCATAGGGAAAGCACAGAATTACATTAAGGGTAGGCTCACATCTCTGCAGACTGCATTTGAACACTTGTGAAGGCACGTGGCAGGCACAGCAGCCTATTCATTTGAATGGGTTGCTGTGCCCTCAAGAAATGAAGAACCGCATGGTGCTTTAGCGAAGCAAACAAAAATCCATTGAGTTTTATGATGTGTAGGGTTGAAATTAAGTGTTGCATCCACATATCTGCTAAAGAGCAACATGCGTTGCTTTCAGGTCAGGAACATGCGCAATTATGCATGCGTTCCTGACCAGCACATTTATGAACCTAGGCTCAGGCTTACGTCAAATTGGCCCATACAAAAGATTTCCATTCCAACAGTCAGCCTGAATGCTTTTCTGCTGCCTGCTGTCTGCAAAAAATCTAACCAGTCTGAATATATTTCAGCCATTCAGAAGCCTTGTATTTTTATCTAAGAATACAAGGATTCCCACTGATTTGCTGAGGTGAAAATTCTGACATCATTCGTCCACCTCTCTACCTCAGCCAATCAAAGGAAGCCTTGTATACATTGATAAAAATACAAGGCTTCTGAATGGTGGAAGAGCATTCACACCAGTTCGATTTTTTGCCGACAGCACACAGGAAGTCACTAAATGGTTGTGAAGCACAGCACCACTTACTGTATGTAGCTGATGCTTTTACGGTATAATACAGTGCACACAGCGGTCATAATGGAAATAACGCATTTTGTCCATCTTGGCGCACACAAATTATTTAAAGTGACAGGAAATCTGGTGTTCAAAGTTAAGTTTGTAAATAAAAGTTTTATAAGGTTTTTGTTATCCAGAGGGCAGTATATGTGGAACCACAGAGCACAAAATATTCATTTAGAGATGCAAGAGTACAACTGCATACTTATCTAAATGTACAGCACCACCTCCTACCTCTTTTACCTTCTCCATACAGTAATTAATACTTCAGAACACAGCATATGCATAATGTGTGTTTTTTAAAACTTCAAAACTAACATTGATTATAAGAACTGTAAACTTTCAGCAAAGCAGCAACTTTAATTTTGAATAGCAATGCATAATAGGCAGTAGTGTGACATATTGGTCGACGCTGTAGTCTTGCAGTTTCAGTTCCTAGAAGGTGTACAATCAGCAAGGAGTTTGTGAGTCCATCTTGTGTCTGTATGGGTTCTCCTATAGAAGTTCATATTTTCTCACACAATCCACAATATTACTGAAAACTTGAAGGGTATATCCAGTGAGCCTGTGTGTATGGCTATGGTAGGGACATAAGACTGTAAGGTCATTTTGGATCAGTGACTAATGGAAATGTTTGTACATTATAGGGTGATGCTGAATTTGTTAGTGCTACACATAAATATTGAAGAAAAGAGCCTGCACCTTAAGTATAACCTATTCCATTTTCGGATATACCATTTTTAGCATCATACCTGTGTTAGAAGGATGTTGTCAAATAGCTGTTGTGTTTCTGATTGATCCTTGGTAATATCAGCATTAGCATTCATCCCAAAAATCTCAGGAGAAGGGTTCAGTGGAAGGGTCTTCGTATACTCAATATAATGGTTGTACTGAAAAATTAAACGATGAGCTGTTAGAAAAAGGGGTTTGTGCTATAGTTCCAATTTATATTTATGAGCCTAAACTGCCTAAAATCCATTATCGTGTTCACATTATCCTCATCTGCAGCTTTCTATATGAAAATACTTCTCCAGGACATGACAATGACACATGATGACCTGCAATCTACTGAAAAAAGAATATGAGAGACAATCTCCTTACACTGCAATTTTTGAACTTGGATTACAATTAAATCTATAATACTATTAATAGTAAGATGATCCCATCACAGACTATAAATCATACCTTAATTAATCTAAACATTAAATATATAAGGTGCTACCAATATTTCTTTAGCTACAAATACTAAAGAAAAAAATACAAGTCAGGTTCTTAAATAACGAGAAAAAACTACCAACGCTTGGTGCTACACTTGTTGCAATCAAGGGATGATCCTAAACTATCAGATTGAATGGTGTATGATAGACTATATCGACAACAGATGAGAGTAGCTACACCTCAAATAATGCTAAGTAATGATATAAAATTACAAAAGATATCTACATGTGTATATAGACATATATAAAACCCCGGAGCTCTGGGTTATAATAAATTAGTGGATAGTCTCTTGCTGAGAGAGCTGGCTGGAGATAGACTGCCTCTTTAAACAGGCTGCTAACCTGAAAGCTGCAACAGAAGAATGAGAAGGGGAGAAAGAAGCATCAAGTCGCCAAAGGTGTATCAGGATTTATTCCGCAGTTTATGTTACAATACAATAATATTGCCCTCACAAAAGTTGCTTAAAACAGGCATATAACAAGCTCCATGGGAGCCACCAGTGCAGAGTCCACTGCCGACAGAAACCGCTGTGATGACAGGAGCAATGTGGAAGCCAGGCTGGGCCAACCGCCAGAAAATCCCCACGGGAGACTCGAGAAAGGAGCTGTCAAATGCCACAAACTCTGTAGCCAATCAGGAATGCATTTTGGAGACCAAACTATGCCTTTTTCAGCCTGACAACTGAACAAAAGACTTGGCACTTCTTTCTCCCCTTCCCCTTCTTTTGTTGGTACTTAAATAAAATGCAAATAAAAATGTAACTCAAATTAACAAATATTATTAAAGCTGTTTGTTTTCTTGTACAGCAAGACAACCATTACTTTGATGATATATATATATATATATATATATATATATATATATAAAAGAGTCTATTTCTAGGGCTAAGTTTCATCAGACTGTAAGACAGAAGAAATGCTGTTACAGAGGTAACTAGGTCAGAAAAGAAGACATGCTCATCCAGTTCAAACTTTGAATTTTAGGAATTTTAGAGAATTGTTGGTACAGAGGAAGACAGGAAGACATAGCAATGTATATTAGATGAAGAAAATACTGATGCCAATAAAAGGTCAAGCAAAATTGTTCTTTTTAGCCAATCTGGGTTATTTCCCTTAACCACTTCAATACAGGGCACTTTTACCCTCTTCCTGCCCAGGCCAATTTTCAGGTTTCAGCGCTCTCACACTTTGAATGACAATTGCGCGGTCATGCAACACTGCACCCAAACTAAAATTTTATAATTTTATTTGCACAACTAGAGCTTTCTTTTGGTGGTATTTAATCACTACTGTTTTTATTCTTTGCTAAATTAACAAAAAAAGACCAAAAATTAAAAAAAAAAAACAGTTTTTTTCTGTTATAAAAAGTTTGCAAATAAATAAATGTTCTTCATAAATTTAGGCCACGATGTATACTGCCACATGTCTTTGGTGAAAATAACCCAAATCAGTGTTTATTATTCAGTCTGTAGGAAAGTTATACAGTTCACAAACTATGGGATATATCTGAAAATTGATCAATCCTGAAGTACTGACAGGCCATCTAATTTCTTGAGACCCAAAAATGTCAGGACTGTACAGATATCCCCCAAATGACCCCTCAGGGACACTGACTGGTGACTTTTTAAAGTACAAGAGTCTGAATGAAATTACAGTTGTGTCCAAAATTATTCAACCCCCAATGCTGTAAAGGGGTTTAGGGACTATAGTGTACATTTGGAATTGTATTCAGAATCAAATCCTACAAGGACGTTGTAACTACCCAAATGCAACTAAAATGACATCAATTGTTTATGTAATACAGTAGTAAATGGTTCTTATGTGGTTTCTTCATTGCCACAATTATTCAACCCCTTAAAGACTACCACTCTGAAGAACAGAGGTTCATACAGGTGCTTTCCATCAGGTATTGAAAACACCTGTGGATGTCACCGAGCAGCAATCAAGCATAATAAGCACCAATTAGGCAGCTTTAAAATGACTGTGATACTCAGCTCCTTCTAGACATTTACTGGTGTGGGTTACAAACATGGTGAAGGCAAGAGAATGGTCCAGGAAGACAAGAGAAGAGGTGATTTCTCTTCACAGGAAGGGCAATGGCTATAAGAAGATTGCAAAGATGTTAAACATACCAAGAGACACCTTAGGAAGCATCATTCGCAAATTCAAGGCAAAGGGCACTGTTGAAACGCTACCTGGTCGTGGCAGAAAGAAGATGCTGACTTCGACTGCTGTGCGCTACCTGAAGCGTAGAGTGGAGAGAAGTCCCCGTGTGACTGCTGAGGAACTGAGAAAAGATTTGTCAGATGTGGGTACAGAAGTTTCAGCCCAGACAATAAGACGCACACTGCGTAATGAAGGCCTCCGTGCCAGAACTCCCAGGCGTACCCCCTTGCTGTCTCCAAAGAATAAGAAGAGTCGACTGCAGTATGCCAAAAGCCATGTGGACAAACCACAAAAGTTGTGGGATAGTGTTCTGTGGACTGATGAAACAAAATTAGAACTGTTTGGGCCCATGGATCAACGCTATGTTTGGAGGAGGAAGAACAAGGCCTATGATGAAAAGAACACCTTGCCTACTGTGAAGCATGGTGGAGGGTCAATCATGCTTTGGGGCTGTTTTGCTTCTGCAGGTACAGGGAAGCTTCAGCGTGTGCAAGGTACCATGAATTCTCTTCAGTACCAGGAGATATTGGATGGAAACGTGATGCAGTCCGTCACACACCTGAGGCTTGGGAGACGTTGGACCTTTCAACAGGACAATGATCCCAAGCATACCTCCAAGTCCACTAGAGCATGGTTGCAGAGGAAAGGCTGGAACATTTTGGAGTGGCCATCGCAGTCACCAGACTTAAATCCGATTGAGAACCTCTGGGGACTTAAAGAAAGCAGTTGCAGTGCGCAAGCCTAAGAATGTGACTGAACTGGAGGCCTTTGCCCATGAAGAATGGGCGAAGATACCCGTAGATCGCTGCAAGACACTTGTGTCAAGCTATGCTTCACGTTTAAAAGCTGTTATAACTGTAAAAGGATGCTGTACTAAGTACTAAGATTGAATGTCACTTGGGGGTTGAATAAAACTGATAATGCTGTGAGCACAGAAAAGACATTTGTGGTTATTTCATTATAACTGTTATGTTATATTTGTCTGACCTACAAGTGCCTCTTTAATGTAAATGTAAGCAAGATGACTGAATGATCAAAAGCAATGTCAAACTGGCCAAAACACTCAATTTCAGTGGGGGTTGAATAATTTTGGACACAACTGTAAATCTGGACTTTACATGTTCTGTTCTTGCTGTTTTCCCCTTGCACTCTGTCCCTTCTTGAACAAAGAGCCACATTTTGGCCACCACTCCAGGGAGAGTTGTGTAGAAATAAATATCCTCTTTACACTGCTTAAGACCTGGCTGAAAATGCCTATTGCTTTGTAGAATATGTTACCCCAACATTTCATATTCCTGTTGTGTCTGTTGTACCATGTGTTAAAAAGTATCCTGTTCTCTTTGTATTGCTTCCTTTGTGTGAAATAACTGGTGAGCCTGCCAATACCCAGGCTTTCCTTTTAAAAACTGACCACTCTAGGCATGACAGCACATCCATCCCAACATGTTCAGTTTTCTGGCTGTGCTGGTAGCACAGTCTGCCTGTCCTCCAATGATCAGACTTTTGCTGAAACTCCCCCCTGCACAGCCATTCACTGGGGAGATCAGTGTACTGCTGCTTCTTCACCTCTCCAATCCGCTTATGCAGCTGAGAACAAATATATATATATATATATATATATATATATATATATATATATATATACACTGCTCACAAAAAAAATAAAGGAACACTTTTCAGAGTATAGCATCAAGTCAACAAAACTCCTGGGATATTGATCTGGTCAGCTAAGTAGCAGAGGGGGTTTTTAATCAGTTTCACTAGATGGATAACAATGAGACAACCCCCAAAACAGGAATGGTTTTACAGGTGGAGGCTACTGACATTTTTTTTCCTACTCATCTTTTCTGTTTTTCACTAGTTTTGCATTTGGCTAGGGTCAGTGTCACTACTGGTAGCAAGAGGTGATACCTGGACCCTACAGAGGTTGCACAGGCAGTCCAACTCCTCAAGGATGGCACATCAATACGTGCCATTGCCAGAAGCTGTGCTGTGTCTCCCAGCACAGTCTCAAGAGCATGAAGAAGATTCCAGGAGACAGGTTAAGTATCTTCTACAGCCCTGTGCAGCTCTCCTAGAGTAACTGCCTATCAGCAGGACTGGTATCTGCTCCTTTGTGCATGGAGGAAGAGGATGAGTACTGTCAGAACCCTACAAAATGACCTCCAGCAGGCCACTTGTATAAAGGTTTTTGACCAAACAATCAGAAACAGACTTCATGAGGGTGGCCTGAGGGCTCGACATCCTCTAGTGGGCCCTGTGCTCACTACCCGGCACCATAGAGCTCGGTTGGCATTTGCCATGGAACACCAGAATTGGCAGGTCCGCCACTGGCACCCTGTGCTTTTCGCAGATGAGAGCAGGTTCACCCTGAGCAGATGTGACAGACAATAAAGGGTCTGGAGAAGCTGTGGAGAACATTATGCTGCCTGTAACATCATTCAGCATGACCATTTTGGTGGTGGGTCAGTGATGGTCTGTGGAGGCATATCCATGGAGGGATGCAC